CATGTTGGCCAGGCTGGTCTCAAACTCCTGACCTCAGGTGATTCACCCGCCTCGGCCTCCCAAAGTGTTGGGATTACAGGCGTGAGCCACCGTGCCTGGCCATGATAGTCTTATAAGTAAATAAATGTGCACTGTGCATGGAGCAATGATAAGTGTGTGTCATGAACCAAGGTTATGATTAATTTAGTTCTGTGCATCTGAAGTCCATTAAAGGAAAGGGAGAAAAAGTAGCCTACCTCCTCCTCCAGGCAGCCTCAGTTGTTGGGGGTGATGGGGAGAATCTTCTCCCCCAAGCTCCTTTGGGACTTTTCTCCAGGGACTGGCCCTAGGTCCTCCTCTTGTAGAGGTGAGCTGGTGGCATAGAGGTGGGGCAGCAAAGAGGGAAGTAATCCAGGGTTTAGCTTCCTCTGGAAATGGGTCCTGGAATCAGTGGGAAAATGAGTCTATCCTGAGGCTGAAGAAGGAATCTGGAAGTGAGTCAGCTTCCATTCCCATTCAGCTTCCCAGACTCCCCAGCTTAGAACTGTTGGGCATGCAGTCTCCCATCCATTTCATCTATGACCTTAGGGTGGGGGTTAGGAGGAGCCCCAGAGCTGGGCCCTGAGTGAATGGGGCTGTGGCCACATGAATGATAGTCATAGTCGTTATAAACATTCTGGGTACTCGGGAGCTGGGACTAAGGTCTTGTTATGTTGCCCAGGCTGAAGTGCAGTGGCGATTCCTTGGTGCTATCATAGCACACTGTGGCCTCAAGTTCCTGGCCTCACACAATCCTCTTGCTTCAGCCTGCCACCCGCCAAGTAGCTGGGACTATAGGCATGGACCACTATGCCCAGCTTAAACCAGTACCTTTGAAGTCCATCATGAAACTAGGGAGCTGCTGACACTCTCTCTCTCTCTCTCTGCTCTCTACATACGTACTAGTACTATACTCACTTCTTTTTTTTTCTTTTTTTGAGCACAAAGTGTCCACCTTCCCTGTCGCCCAGCCCGCTCCGCGAGTGCAGTGCGGCAATACTCCGCCTCACCTGCAACCTCTGTCTCCCAGGTTCAAGCGATTCTCATGCCTTGGGCTTCCCAGTAGCTGGAATCTCAGGTGCATGCATGCACACCCAGCTAATTTTTGTACTTTTTGGTAGAGACACCGGGCTTCCATCACGTTGGCCAGGCTGGCTCTCAACTCACTGACTCCAGGTCGATTCAACCTGCCCCTGCGCCTCTCCAAAGTGTTGGGATTCAGGTGTGTCCGACCACTGCACTGGTTTTTTTGCTTTGGCTTTGTTTTTTCTGTTTTTTGAGACAGACAGGTCTCTGCTGCTGATCCACCTGGGC